ATAAATACTCTAAATCTTCCTTTCCTTTCTCCACTACGTGTCACTATCTCACTGGCTTGTCAGTCTGTCAGAAAAAGACCCCACACACTCCCATTTCCCCTATAAATACTCTTTAACGTTCTTATTATTTCTTCATCTTTCAAATCTCAAACTCTAAACACAACAACAAGTACAAGTAAAGAATATTTTCTTTACTTCCTACACTTTTACTTGTTAATTTACACATATTCTCTCAAATCAAATGGCCAAGGCAATGAACTCTTCTACCTTCTTTGTTGCAATCATCTTCGCCATCGTTGCGTCGATTAATGCTCAAGAGATGGCACCAGCACCGGCCCCCGATGCCGCTACCGGAGCAGGATTCTCTCTTTCTACTTCTACTGCCGTTGTTGGAGTTTCTCTACTCTTCTCAGTTTTCTCTTTGATCTTCAACCATTAAGAGATGTATTGTAATTAATTTTTTTGGAGTGTATATTATTTATACTTCGTATTTAATTTTAATTGGTACGATTATTGTACTTGTACCACATTTGTTATTCGTTGGTATCAATTCTGAATAAAATCATTCTTTGCTTTGTTTCATAACTTTTGTCAAGTGTTTCATTTGATCATTTATTTTTGGAGAATTGCTTTGCATCAATTTATTTTTAAAATTTAAAATTTGACCAAAAAGTAATTACCCATTTTTCATTTCTTCATACTTATTATATTTGGAAAATTAATAAAATTAATGGGAAAATTAATAAAATTAAAAATTAAACATAAACGCCGTCTGTGGAGATCGAACCCACGACCACGTGGGTAAAAGCCACGCACTCTACCACTGAGCTAAGAAGGCTCTTATTTGTTTATTTTCACCTGAAAAGAATTATAGAATTATAAGCTATATGCAACAATTTCGATCCATTCTATTCTTACATAACGTACTTCGTATAAGTTAAAGTTATATTTATCCCCGTCAAAAAAAAAAAAAAAGTTATATTTATCAAATTTAATTTATGTATTGTTATTTAGTGGCAATCTTTAAATAATTTTAGCAAAGTTAAGGGTTTTTTTTTTATTTTTTTTTTTTTATTTTTATGTAATGGATGGATAAACTATCGAGTAAGGTGAACAATTGACAATTGAGTAAAGGAAAAAATAGCTAGCATATCCAAGGTAAGTAAAGGGTAGCTAGGGCTAAACACGGTCTATATTGTCATAAATGAATTTCGTATATACTACCTCCGTTAATTGATGGCCATGTTTGGTAAATGGCTTTTTGGTTAGCTTTTGGCTTTTTTATGAGGTCAAACAGCCAAAAAATGTGTTTGGTAATTGGCTTTTAAGCCAAAATGAAAAAGCTGCTTTGAGTAGCCTTTTTGTTGGCTTTTGGCTTGTTGGCCCACAAATTATCCAATAAACAGCCAACTACTAACAATTAATTTACCAAACACTTTTATAAACAGCCAGCTTTAAACGCCAATTTCAAAAGCCATTATAAACAGCCAAACATACCAGCTGGTCAAACAAGTCAAGTGAACCAGCCAACAGCCAACCGCCAACAGCCACTTGCCAAACAAGGCCGATATCTGCAACTTTGAAATATTTTATATCTCACAAATAATATTCAAAGTTGCAGACTTACAGATAACAATTAACGAATGTAGTATCTGGGCTAGGTTCGAACAAAAGCTAGATCAAGGATAGATTCAAAGTTTGTTCAAGGTCCAATTCAAGCTAGCTTGAAAAAATAGGAGAGGAAAAAAAATACTCTTAGGATTTAATAATAGGAATCTAGTTGTTACATTAACAAATAAATTTATTAGGTGGTTTTAGATAATTTTTTTTTGTTATTGAATGTGTTTGGTTTTTTAATTGAAAAGCATAAAAGATGGTTGTTGGCAGATATATTTAAAAAATTCTAAATAATCTGTCATAAATGCAATGATCTTCGACTAGGATTCCATGTACCTGCTAATGATATTCTGGCAAAACTTATGGCATTTAACTGTCAGATTGACAAATGCAAATAATAATGTTTGATGCTCATTTTTTTGAGGATGAAATATATTTGGTGGCCAAGAATCAAATCTATGGCCGAATTATACCCATAATTGCAAGTAGATTAATTGAACGTGTCGTGTTTGATGACATGTTACAACAAATTTATTAGTGCGTGAAACGATTATGAAGTGAGAGAAGGCGATCTATATTTTAACAATTAAAAAGTTCTAATTTATATACTACTTATTTAGAATGAAGTTATGTTACTAGGCGTGACGGTCTAATTTACAATTTGAAAATTGGAAGAAAAATTATCAATTTTCCATAATCAACGGATAATTTAATGTTATCCTATATTTGCAATTGAGCACCCGCTATCAATTGTGATTTCAATCAATTCCAAATGTTTGGATCCTAGTTTTTGATTTGATTTTTTATCGGACACTCGTTCTTAGTCACCGTATTCCTTCTTCCTCTACCTGTAAAATGAACCATAAATAATAAATATCCCTTTCAATTTACGTAGTATTATGATAATTTTTAAGTTCTTACTTGATAAGTCGTGTTTTGTGCATATTTTTGGAGTCTTTTTGGTCCTCTTTTTGAGTCTAGTTTAGGAGCTTTTGGTTTATTCGTGTTTGATTTGGTTTAGTCTTGATGATTTCATGCTTTCCTGGGTAGCTTCGTTGTTTTTGATGTATTTCAGGATTGACGAGGTAATTTAGAGATTTTACCGCAGCTCACTTGCGACTTACTTCACAAAAGAGCAACAAGCAATAGAGGACAGTTCACTCCGCAGCTTGCTCGCGGTTTACAGATCCATACCGCAGCTCACTTGCGGTGTACTTCACAAACGCTTAAGGATGCAACACGAAACAGACCACTCCGCAGCCTGCCTGCGGCTCGCGATCCTTCACCGCAGCCTAGCTGCAGCCCCCTGATCTAGTGACGAAATTGGGCCTATTTTTGGGGTTTTAAGAAACCAAATCCTAAGTGGAGTCTATTACTATTTTCCTAGCTTAAAAATAGGTTTTAGATAGTTTTTTTTTTTTATTGATCACTTTACATACATTAATTTAGAGTTTTTGGTATTACGTTCTTCTATTATTATTTTCCTAGGGTTTTGCTTTCAAGATTCAAGATTTCATAATTAATTCCAAGTATTGATTTCTTCTCTCAGTTCTCTTATTTTATTATTGTTAAATATGTTTTCTTTATTGAATATCATTCTTGAATTCATGACTATGTGTGAGTAGTTTCTCTATTCCAAGACCTAGCGGAACCCGAATATGGTTAATGCATGATTTAATTCTTTAAATTCTCTAATGATAATTGCAATTGATATGCTTAATTGATTGTGCTCATGCCAATACTAGATTAGGGATAATTAGTATTGTTATTAATCCATTGTTTTAATTGCAACGGGAGTTAGGTTTTAACGGGTTTGAATAAATCAATTAAGGATTTGAAGTTCATCACGGGAGTAGTTGAATGGATTATTAGGAAGTTAGAGTAATGTGCTCAAGGTCTTTAATTTACATGATTCCACGGAAGTAGGCTTGATTGTGATTAGGGAAGCCATTGATAACTCGGGAGAGACCATTGGTACCATTTAGGGATTGCTTTTCCTCGTTAATCAATTGAATTATATGTTAGGGGTAGAACGACTATTGCATTAATTGTATTCGTGGTGATGCTTGATCTTGGATGTTTTAGTTTATTGATTTATTATATTCGTTTGATTTATTATAAGTTTTCCATACATTAGTTTTTAGTTTATTCCACCATTGTTTGATACTTGCTTAGTATTAACTTGAGTCTGTTTAATTAGTTAAACCATAGTCTCTTGGGATTCGATCCTTACTTGCCTATCTACATAGTAGTGGTCTTGTTAGGTTATTTTTTGCTAGGTACGCGACACGCCTATCAAATTTTGGCGCCGTTGCCGGGGACTAACGGTTTCTTTCTGATTATTTGTGATTCGTTTTTGCTAAGCTTTATTCGTTGCTTCGGCTATTGTCTCTTGTGTTTTTGATACTCTGCTTTTAGTTCCTTGTTGCATGCAAACACGAGGTTCAGGGTCAGACGATTTAGCACCTTTTGATTCTGAAATCGAAGCAACTGCAAGGAGACGAGGAGGTAGAAGAAGAAAGAGAAATCGAAACAATAGAAACATGGAAGACGGCACGAAATCTCTTTTGGAGTACGGTATTCCTGATACAACAACCGGACTCCTCTCAAGCATTGTCAGACCACCTGTCACTGCTCAGAACTTCGAATTGAAACCATAATTCATTCAATTCATCTCCAATGATTCGTTTGCAGGCACAGCTCATGACTGCCCAGTGAGTCACATCGATAGTTTCTTGGAGAAATGTGACACTGTGAAATTAAATGGTGTTACAGACGATGCTCTTAGACTTCGCCTTTTTCCTTTTTCATTACGGGATAGGGCGAAGGAATGGCTGAGAGATGAAGGTTCTGGTTCATTTGACACATGGGACAAATTGGTGAAAGCTTTCCTAGTCAAGTTCTTGGGACAGGAAAAGACTGCAAGGTTGAGAAACGAGTTATCCACTTTCAGGCAGTCAGATGATGAGTCCCTATATGACGCATGGAGGAGATTCAAGCATTTGCAGAGACAATGCCCTCACCATGGTATTCCTGAATGGATGTTGATCCAAAATTTCTACAATGGTCTAACTCATGAGTTCCGAATCTACATTGATGCTGCATCTGGGGGTTCTCTACTGACTAAGAACCCAACTGAGGTGAAGGAACTAGTTGAGAAGATGGCGGCTAATGATAACTATCACCCAGGAGGCCGAAATAGTGTGAAAAAGGGTGGTAAATTAGATGTTGATGCTCTAACTCTTTTGACTAGCTCTGTGCAGGCATTAACAAGCAAGTTTGATAGGCTCCAAGCTGGAACATCCACTAGCTCACCTGAGACTTGTCAAATGTGTAATGTGTAAGGTCACATTGCACCCAATTGCCCACAAAATTCAAATGACATGTCGATTGAGGAAGCCAATGCATTCTACACTTCCAACCCCAAAAGGCCATATGACCCCCACTCTAACACATATAATGAAGGTTGGAATAATCACCCAAATTTTTCCTACAAGAATACCCAAGCCCAACAAAATCCACCTCCACCACCACCTCGAAACAACAACTACAATGCACCACCTGGTTTCCAACCAAGGCCACCTCCAGTCCAACAACATATTCAACCACCTCCTCAAAAGTCTAACCTTGAACTAATGTTGGAAAATTTTATCACCACAACCAACGATTCCATCCAACAACAAAATGGTTCCATACAACAGTTACAAGCCCAGAGTAAGCTCATGGAAAATCAGATAAGTCAACTAGCTCATCAAGTTGGCCAATCTTTAAAGACACCGGGCACTTTTCCGGGTCAGACAGAGCAACCACAAAAGGGGCATATGAATGCAGTAACTTTGAGGAGTGGGAAGCAATTGGAAGATCCTCCTATCAAGGAGCCATCAAAGGAGGTTGTTGAAGAAGTAAGCGGGCGTGAGAAGGTGATTGATAGTTCTAAGATCGAGGAAGAGCCAAAGAAAGCAACTCCACCACCTCTTGCTCCATATGTGCCAAATGTTCCTTTTCCGCAGAGGTTAGCCCAAGCCAAGTTAGAGAAGAAGTATGGTAAATTTCTTGATATCCTTAAAAAGCTTCATATAAATATTCCATTTTTAGATGCCATATCTGAGATGCCTTCTTATGCAAATTTTTTAAAAGATATGCTTTCTAATAAGAAAAAGTTAGAGGAGAATACTACAGTTGCTTTGAATGCAGAGTGCAGTGCTATTTTGCATAACACTCTCCCTAAGAAATTAGGAGATCCAGGTAGCTATTCGATTCCGGTGAAGCTTGGGGACATTGAGATTAACAGGGCATTGTGCGATCTTGGTGCAAGTGTGAGCCTCATGCCACTGTCCATATGTAAGAAGCTGGAAATGGGTGAACTCAAACCCACACGCATATCCCTGCAACTTGCAGACAGGTCAGTGAAGTTTCCTTTGGGTGTACTTGAGGATGTACCTCTTCGCGTAGGTAAGTTTTTCATACCCTGTGATTTTGTTGTAATGGAAATGGAAGAAGATGTGAATGTTCCAATCATACTTGGTAGACCTTTCTTAGCTACTGTAGGTGCAGTCATTGACATGAAGAAAGGTAAGATTACTTTTGAAGTAGGAGATGAAAAATTGGAATACTCACTTTTGAATATTATGGGTACTCCCTCCATGGGAGACACTGTTTGTCAGGTTGATGTACTTGATGAGTTGCAAGGTGAGAAACTTCCCCTGAATAAAAAAGACGATGCCCTTGAACAGGTACTAATAGGGAAGGAAGATGGTGATGGAGATTGGGAATCAAGAGAGTATGTCAAGCTGCTTGAAGAAGCAAGGGCCAACCCGAGCGTGAATCCAATCAGAGAAACACTGAGTGTAATGAGTATTGGGGAGAGTACTAAGCCTCTCGAGGTAGAGTTGAAACCTCTCCCTTCTAACTTAAAGTATGCATATCTTGGTCCAAATAATTCATACCCTGTCATTGTTAATGCTGAACTCAAGGACACAGAACTGGAGCAACTGCTCAATGTTCTGAAAACATATAAAAGTGTTATTGGGTACACCATTGATGACATCAAGGGTATCAATCCTTCTTTCTGTATGCATAAAATCATTCTTGAAAACGATCATGCCTCTTCTTTAGAACCTCAAAGAAGACTTAATCCAAATATGATGGAGGTAGTGAAAAAAGAGGTTCTGAAATTGCTTGCTGCAGGAATAATCTACCATATCTCTGATAGTAAGTGGGTTAGCCCTGTACAAGTAGTACCAAAGAAGGGAGGTATGACCGTTGTCAAGAATGACAAGGGTGATCCAGTCGCCACTAGGACTGTTACAGGGTGGCGAATGTGTATAGATTATAGGAAATTGAATAAGGCCACCCTCAAGGATCATTTCCCCCTACCCTTTATTGATCAAATGCTTGAAAGGTTGGCAAATCATTCCTTTTTCTGTTACTTGGATGGATATTTTGGTTTCTTTCAAATTCCCATCCGTCCCTGTGACCAGGAAAAGACTACTTTCACATGTCCATATGGCACCTTTGCATATCGCAGGATGCCATTCGGATTATGTAATGCTCCCGCCACTTTTCAACGTTGTATGATGGCAATTTTTTCCGGTCTTATAGAAAATTCTATGGAGGTATTTATGGATGATTTTTCTGTCTATGGAACATCTTTTGATATATGTCTTGAAAATCTTAAAAAGGTGCTCCAAAGATGTAAGGAAGTTAATTTGATTTTGAACTGGGAAAAATGCCATTTTATGGTGCAATAGGGAATTGTCTTAGGTCATGTTGTATCTAATAAGGGTATTGAGGTAGATAAGGCTAAGATAGAGGTCATAGAGCGTTTACCCCCTCCGAACTCTGTAAAAGGAGTTCGAAGTTTCCTTGGTCACGCGGGTTTTTACCGTCGTTTTATTAAGGATTTTTGAAAATTGCTCGACCTCTAACTGAGCTTTTAGCTAAGGATGTTCCTTTTGTTTTCTCTGATGCTTGTCTTGAGGCTTTCAACAGGTTGAAAAAAGCTTTGATCTCTGCTCCTGTCATGCAACCTCCAGATTGGAGCCTGCCGTTTGAAATCATGTGTAATGCTAGTGACTATGCAGTAGGAGCCGTTTTGGGGCAAAGAAAAGAGAAAAAGCTCCATGCCATTTACTATGCTAGCAAAACTCTTAGTTCTGCTCAAATGAATTATGCCACAACTGAGAAAGAGATGCTTGCTGTAGTTTATGCAATTGACAAGTTTCATTCCTATTTGGTTGGTTCTAAAGTTATTATTCATACAGATCATGCAACACTGAGATATTTGATGACCAAGACCCATACAAAGCCTAGGTTGATTCGATGGATTCTTCAACTGCAGGATTATGACATAGAGATCAAGGATACAAAAGGGACGGAGAATGTTGTTGCAGATCATCTCTCCCGTCTTCTCCTTGACCCCGAGGATGGGGATGAAATCCCTTTTGATGATTCTTTCCCTGCTGAACATCTATTAGCTTTGTTGCAGACTGAATCACCTTGGTATGCTGATTTGGCTAATTTCCTTTCCACAGGTATAAGGCCTCATGGCTACTCCTCTCAACAAAGGAAGAAATTCCTCTCTGAGGCAAGGAGACACTTTTGGGAGGATCCCTTCTTGTACAAATTGTGCGCAGACGCAGTGATCAGACGATGCATCCCAGAGAGTGAGGTAAGAAGTGTTATTTCTCATTGCCATGACTTACCATGTGGTGGACATGCAGGTCCCTCAAAGACAACCGCAAAGATCTTGCAGTGCGGTTTTTAATGGCCAACAATGTTCAAAGACGTATATTCCTATGTCAAGGCATGTGATCGATGTCAACGGACGGGCAATATTTCTAGGAAGAATGAGATGCCACTCAACAACATACTCGAGGTCGAGTTGTTTGATGTGTGGGGGATAGACTTCATGGGTCCGTTTCCTTCTTCCTATGGTAACCGATACATCTTAGTAGCCGTTGACTATGTGTCAAAGTGGGTGGAAGCTATTGCTACTCCAACCAACGATGCTCGTGTGGTAAGCAAATTTTTTAAGAAAACTTTTTTTCCCCGATTTGGTATCCCACGTGTGTTGATTAGTGACAGGGGGACGCACTTTATGGAGCATCGATTTGAGGAAATGCTGAAAAAGTATGGAGTACAACACCGGTTGGGCATTGGATATCACCCTCAAACCAGTGGCCAAGTTGAAGTATCTAACCGAGAAATCAAGTCTATTCTAGAGAAAACGGTTGCAAGAACAAGGAAAGATTGGTCCGCTAAGATTGATGATGCATTATGGGCATACCGAACAGCTTTTAAAACGCCAATTGGTACAACCCCATATAGACTCGTATATGGAAAGGCGTGCCACTTACCTGTCGAGCTAGAACACCGAGCTTTTTGGGCTATTAAAAGTTTAAATTTTGATGCTCAAGCAGCGGGTGAAAAGAGATTGTTACAATTAAATGATCTAGACAAGCTCCGTCTTGAAGCCTATGAAAGTTCGAAGTTGTACAAAGAAAAGACCAAAAGGTGGCATGACAAGGGTCTTGTGAGAAGAGAATTTAAGGAAGGAGATCAAGTCCTTTTATTCAACTCAAGATTAAAACTATTTTCCGATAAGCTTCATTCTAGGTGGTCGGGTCCATTCAAGGTATGTACAGTCTATCCCTATGGTACTATTGAACTATGGAATAAAAATGGGGGTACTTTTAAGGTGAATGGCCAAAGAGTGAAGCACTATCGAGTAGGTGATCCAATTGATGAAAGAGTGGATATCACACTCTCGACACCATCACAAGACAACTGAGCAAAAAGGAGGTCGAGCTTAAGACCTTATAAACAAGCGCTTTTGGGAGGCAACCCAATTTTTCTACTTTTACTTAAGTTTTTCTTTCTTTTAATTAAAAAAAAATTAAAAAAAAAATTAAAAAAAAATTAAAAAAAATAAAAAAATACATAAAGGAGGGAAAACGATTTGCACCTGTTTTTCATTCCATTATGGAGTAGTTTATTTTAGGATCTTTTTTTTATATAGAACCAAGTTTCGTTTTTTTTTCCTTAGTGAGTTAGTCTTTATGTAGTAGTAGTCTTTTTTTTTGTTTTCTTCTTTGGAATATTGTTTCAGTCTTTGTTTTCACCTTATTTTGTTTTTAGTAGGTTAGGTAGTCTAATTATCTAGCCCCTTTAATTTACTCAAGTGCTACCCTATCTTGTCTTCTTATGAAATTATGTAAATGCACGAGAAAGCAGCTGTACCACAGAGATTGGAGTCCTCGCATCACAGCGAGTTTAACAGCCTAGTGCACAAGCTAGTTGCGGCAACATTCTCGTTATGCATTGAAACTTTGAGCAGACCAGTTTACTCCGCAGCTTGGTCGCGGTATACCCACCTATGCCGCAGTCAGGTCGCGGTTCATCTCACTCTCATACATTAAAAGAAATGACAGCAGTTTACTCCGCAACCGAGCCGCGGGTAACACCAAGATACCGCAACTAGGCTGCAGAGTGCACTGTTATTTACATCCCCTATAATTTCTCTCACAAAAAAAAAAGGAAAAACAATTAAAGAGAAGGGAGATGAAGAACTTACAGTGCAACGCTCTGCCGCAGTCAGGCTCATCTCTCCCCTACCACCTGTAAAATCTTGCAACTCCGTCAGACCGTCACCAACGTTCAACACCGAAAGAAACCCACAATACCCACCATCTTCCTCTGTTCTACAAATTCTACCATATATTTCGAAACCTACAGTTGCTTCGGCATTATTTTCGAATATACATGCCAATCTTCTGGTCTCTTGGGTGATTGTATTGGTTGGGATCGATTACGGTCGAGATCTATTTGCTACTTGAAGGGTTTTTGGGTTCGAATCTTGGACGAGTTTGTGTGGATACTGTTACATTGGAGAACCCTGTCGTTGAATCGATTTTGATGCTCAAGTGGAGTATTGTGATTTTTTACTAGACTATCGGAAAATATAGTGATTGTGGGGGTAGATTGTGGTACAAGTTGTATTTGTGGTTCTTGGAAGCTATTTAGTACTACTTTGATCACTCTCTGATGGCACGCACATCAAGTGTTCGACAAAAGAACGTGACTAATAACTCCACCCTTAAAACAAGGCCGATCACACCAAGAAGAGTTCGTCATCCAAGCAAAATTTATGTATCTCCAAGGGCAAGAAGGCAGCCTCCTCAACCAGTAGGGTCAAGAATAAAGAATTCAGCATCAATTATTTTGACATTGATTTTAATGGAGATGCAATATACAAGGAGAAATATGAACAATTGTTTAGAAGAGGAATCGTTGCTACCCGCTATGGTGACCTTGATGTTTTGACAGCCCTACACATTGAGGACGATGTCCGCTGGCTTCTCGATAATGTCGGATTGGGAAATCTTCTCATGACTAAGCTTCCAACATCACAGAGAGCAACATTGGAATTCCTAAGCTCCTTGAAGGTCAACTTCTTCTCCAACCCGTCAAGCGGCGAGACCAAGATCACTTTTCGGCTATTTAACAATAATCATACTTGGACCTTGGGTGAGCTTAATTTGGCGCTTGGATTACATGTCGATGGATCAAGAATGACCCCAACAAGATGGGATGTAGATGGTTTTTGGCGGATCTTATCGGGTGAAGGCAGATATAATTCAAAGGGGAGTTCAATCACATCCGCTCGCCATCCCGCACTGCGCTATACACTCAAGTTGTTCTCCAACACTATTTTTGGTCGACAAGAAGGGAGTAGGGTTCGCAAGGATGAGTTATATATGCTCCATCACATGCTTCATGCTGAACCTATCAACGTTGGCGCCTTCCTTATTCAACAATTGCAACATGTAGCCAACAATAACACTACTGGAGGAAAAATTGTGCAAGGAGGGTTTATCACTCGTATTGCAACCTATTTGGGATACAATGAAGATATCAAAAAAGATGGTTTTGTAGATGGAACAGATACTGTGGAAATTCCGTGCACTTGGGTGAAAAAGAAGGATGGCACCACCCTTTGGTGCACTCATGGAGGCGAGGATGCACTTCCCAGTCCCGAGGAAATGTCTTTGAAAGATAAGAATAATTGGTCCTTCACTCATTCCTCACCAAGAAGGCAAGTTTCACTGTCTCTAGAACCACCCGTACCACCCTCTCCTTCGGCAGTAGATGTTATATCATCTTCATGTTCACCTACACTTGCTACATTACAAGCTTTCATTGATGAATTAAAAAATGACAGTAAGGCGATGAAGAATGACTTGGCTTCCTTATCGGAAAATTTTGCTACTCTTATAACTTGGTTGCAGTCACAAGGGTTTTCGCACCCTTCCTTTCCCCCCTCGTTAGTGAGGGTTTGTGAGTTCTCTCTCCTTTACTTATCTTCTTATGCCTTGATGTTGCACTGTGGACATTGCTAGTCTTAAGTGAGGGGGAGGATTCATTTTTTCACCATGTATATATTAGTTCTCTTTTTAGTACGTGGTTAGTCTTTTTTTTTTTATTAGTGTCTTTGATATGCCATTACACGCTTATGCTTCTATGATAATGATCATACATGTGTGCTTTGTGAAAAAAGTTTTCGAAAACCCATTCACTGATTTGCTTGGAATTGAGTTGGTTTGTGGCCAGGATGGTCTCCCCGCTCTACTTATGTGAATAGTTTGTGTACCCGGTGAGATTTTTGAGCCATATTTGACTGATTGCACTCTATCTCAGTCTTGTTTCTTCATGTGTGATTAGTTGTCCTTCACATAATTGAATTCTCAGTCTTGCTCTTTGACTGTTTGAGACTTGAATGATGCATGTTGCGAAAAAATGATTGAGATTTCCTTGTAAAGAATAGAACCTCCACATTCTAGGCCTACATAATTTTTTTATTTTTTTTTTATTTTTTTTTTCATTCACCCGTAGGTTGAGCCAATTTGAGTCGTGTTTTAACCCCTTCTTGATACCCTACGTTTAAAGCCATAGAGCTATTTTCCTAGGTTTACTTTGAAGGAGCATTACACTTGTTAAAGCCCTATGAGTGATATATGAAAAAAAAAGAAAAAAAAATGAAAAAAAAAATTAAAAAGAAAAAAGAAAAAGAGAAAGAAGGGAATTGATTTACTAGAAGGAAGGAAGGAAGAAGAGAAAAGAAAAGAAAGAAAAAAAAGGGTGTTGAACTTGCATACACCCGTACCTCGAATTAAAGAGTTTAAAGTCGTCCTAAATCCTAATTTGCTATGAATCCCTTTCTTTTTGCAAAAGAAAAAAAAATGAATGAAAAAAAGGAGAGAAAAAGAAAAGAAAAAAAGAGAAGGAAAAAGAAAGAAATAAGGGGCAATGCTTATTTTGTATGAAGTTGGAGGAAATAAGGTTGGTTTGAACCCGACATTTGAATGTGTAGTGGGATTAGGATTTGTTATATTTTGAGCACCACATTCCCAAATAACGTCGTCCAACCCTTGTTTACCAAGCTTACCCTTTATGGATTTCATGATTTTCGTAATTGCATCAATCATTAGAAGTGGAGAAAGTCACATTGCAAGCTTAAAGAGGACAATTCATGTGAAGTTGACATGCATTCTATGCTTAGGTTGAGTGATATCATATTTCACCCCATAAACACATGAGCGTTTATTGTTTTTGTTTTTCACAACTAAAGTGAGAGCTATTCATGTTTGTGTGAGTTGGTATGGGGAGATGTGTGGTAAGATGTTTGTCGATTCCAAGTATGAGAGGTCTATGGTGGTTTTATGCACATTGATTCTAATTTTTGCTTTCCTCTCGATTTTAAATGAT